TTTTGCACAGTTTTGATTACTTGATTACATGTTATTTATGTTATGTTATTACATGTTACTGTTATTGCAGTTGTGTTACTCTCTATTGTCTTATCTTCTGTCCTTTTTATATACTGCACCTGAGTGACTAATGAGAAACACTTTTCATTATACTATGCACCTGTGTAAGTTTAATGACAATAAAGTTTAATTGAATGATTATATTTGAATAAGGTTTGCCAAAATGTTTTCTTGTATATGAATGAAGAGCCTCAATAAAACCTTTCAAAGTCAACCAAACTGACACATTTGGTAAATTTTTCAAAACAAATGTAAAGGCCTTTAACATTCCATTATGTAAATGACTGGCAATAAAATCACACTTTTCAGAAAAATCCAGATCTGCACAGAAGTTTAAGCACAAAAGCTAAAGGTGTGAAAATTGTTTGGTCTAAGAGTTGTCTGGGACAGAACCCTAGATTAAAGCACCCACAAGTTTGTTTTCTTCAAAGTTGTTTTCCTTGGAGATCATAATGACAAAAATGTTTCTTACTGTACAGTTTCTTATGGTTTCAAAAAATCTTACAAACCAAAACTGGATACTCATCTGTCCCACTTCCTCTCTCAAAAATAGGCAGGCCAAAAATAAGTTAATAAATACTATGCATTAAAATGACAAAAAAAATCAATCACTTCATAATAGTAACTTTTCAAGACCTTGGAAGGAAACATAAATAACATCCCTGACAAGCTCTTTGCCCAAAAGCCCAAAAGGCCTAGATTGCTAATTGCCATGCTCGGAAGGGCAAAATTAATTATCAGCAGAGGTCCACAAGTTATTTGCCAAGCAGCAAATCATCTTGCACCAATGATCCTCTGGATGACTCAGTTTATCTTCACTGTGGGATGGACAACGTGGGGCACAGCTCCAAAGTAACAAGAAATGGGGGAGGGCAAGAACATGCTGATTTGAAGGACAGAAAAAGAAAAAAAAGAAACATACACAATAAAGCTGCTGTATCTCATTTTCACTGTGGGAAAGTAGAGTCCCAAGGGGCATTCAGATTTGAATTGCCTGGTAAAAGACCTGGAGGGGAGTTTATCGCATTCAGAACAATCTTCACCTTGTTCATACTCAGTTGTAACATAAATTCACTTTATGGTGAAAAAAGTGTAGTAGAATTCACTGGTTTTCATTGGGTTCAGAAACCAAATTTTGTACATTAATGCACTGAAAAATGATCCTGAAAATTTTTGGTTGTTTCTATATTTACATCTAATTTTATATTAACATCTGAGAAGGAAAAGCTTCAACAAACAAATGCTATTAGTACTAAGAAACATAATTTATTGTACTTTGGTCCTTTTACAGTATCATAATAAAGGGCAGGATGAAATTCAGTGCTTTCAACAACAGCAACTTGCTTTTTATTCCTTAATTTTTATGCAGACTTTTATCAGCCTTTAATAACTGGCACCTTTTGACCTAATCCATTTATCAACAATTCATCAATGTCTGTAGTCCATTAACCTACCATGTTTATTACCACTCTACACCTGTCATTAAAGAAATATGCAGTTGACTTTGTCCTGCCTTATTTTCACCCTTCATGTGTAAGCTTTCTATGTACAGCACTACCCGTTCTTCTCCTTCCGTAAGAAATTCGAAGACTTAAACAAAGTACCTGGGGCAATTAATTTAAATGCCAGTCAGACATTTATAGCAGTTTCAATGTTTGACATGTTCAAATATTAAATATTGTAAAAAATACACGTTCTTCAAATATTCACTTGAATTTATTTTAAAACATTTGCAAACAAAGACAATCTCTAGTGTAACAGACAAGCCACCTTTGAAATCTGAAGTATCAATAGAAGCAAGTTGTTGACTTTATACATTAACTTCTATATACTGTACTGTACACTATTGTTGTATTCAATTCTAAACCTTCTCTAGGATGTCGCTTGTCACCCAGAGAATGTGGTGTACATATGTTACCATCCATCACTTTAAGTCCACACAGTACCAAGTCTCACAGACAGTGTTGATGTGCCTTACCAATACACCAAGAGTTATTTTCTAGATTAAACATGAAGTACATTTCCATATATGAAACTATAAAGTCGACTTTGTATCGCACAGCAATTCGCTTTTGAGGCAAAAGTACAGCTTTTGATTCCCACCAGCCCTAATCTGCCTAACCCATATTCAAATTCAAGTCCCTTCCTTGCTTTCTGTTTAATTGCAGCTGAGCTATTATATTGGAATATCGTTAAAAAAACAAAAAAGAAAATGAACACCCTATGGATCATACATCTGTGATGGTATTTTGATAGTAATGGAAATGCTCACAAAATACAATGTAAAATGAACTATTGTAATGTCATTAAATAAAAAATAAAAATCTAAATTTTTTAAATATACCATGTAGAAGGTTGTCTGGATTTACTGTAAACATTTTCTCATCTATTTCAGATAAAATATTTTTTCTCTCTTAAAATACGGTGTACTGTTATATACTACACAGTTCTGTCAAATGGATGCTGGAATATTGAGGAATTAATATTTTTGCCATAAATTGAAGATAAATTATAATAAGCAGGTGTTCTAATGTAAAAAGGTAATTTAAGTAATAGACGTAACATCTTGGAGCTCCTAGCCTCTTCATGTTTTTTTTTTATTTTTTGATCACTCAGTTTTAAAAAAGGTTGAATAAAACAGTACATATATTTCCTTCTGTGAAAAATTACTTTATTCAAGAGGTCATGAAAGTTTGCCCCTCCTTTTACTAATTTTCTGTATGTTCATAGTTATTGTTTGTGGTTTACTCAAGGCACATTGTAAAAAACTATTATCGTAGATCAGTGCTTCTTAGGTTTAGGTTTAATGCTTTTTCAAAGCACTTTAGAAACAGGCTACTGTATGCACACATCCTAACAATTAGCTTCAAGTGCTCTTGTCTGAGGTTATTTGTACTGGAATAGATAGCAAACAATCTACAGTACTCAAAAGCAACAACAGATAATTGTGCACAGGATACAGCAAAATCTGAAAAACACGCAAAAAGTAATTTGAATAGGTTTACTCATGGCTTCAAGGGAGAAAATATTATTTTGAGATTTATGTTTCCCATAAATGTCTGTTCCACCAAGAAATTTGTGGTACACAACATCTTCATCCTGGTGTCAAATAACTTCTATAATAGATGATAAAACCTTTGTCTGTAGAATTTAAACAACATGGAAAAAGTCACTCAAGAACTTGAATTCTAACAGTTTGGAAACTCTTAGTTGATAAGTTCAGACTTTTTTGTTTCCCATGCTAAATACATCCATTCATTTATGAACCGCTTTATCTAATACGAGGCTGGAAACACTCTTTTTGGGATACCAATGTATCGCAGGGCACATGGACACAAACACAGACACACTCACACAAGGGTAAATTTTCCCAGAAGTCAATTATCTTACCAGTATGGCTTTGGACTGTGGGAGGAAACTGATATACTGTATGAACGCCACTCAAACAACACCCTATTGAACCCAGTTCCCCAGACCTGGGAGTCAGCAATGCTAAGCACTGCACCACTGTGCCACCCCATTCTAAATGCAGGTTTTAATATAACAGGTTTTATATATTTCATTGAAGGCACGACAGGTTAATGTGCCTTGGACTATATTAAAGAAGGCACTCACGCGTAGCTCCTGGGCCTCCATAGCTTTCTTTCCATCCCATGCCCAACTCCGTTTGGTGAAGTAGTTCACTGTGGCAAATTCAATAAGGGCCGAAAACACAAAAGCATAGCAGACGGCCATAAACCAGTCCATAGCCGTGGCATATGCCACTTTGGGTAAAGAATTTCTTGCACTGATACTTAGGGTGGTCATGGTCAGGACAGTGGTGACACCTGTAGGAAACAGAAGATACAAAACGTTAGTTGACACCATACAGAAACCATGACAGCAAGTAGCTTCATTCAAGCAAGCAGCTCTTATAATACATAATACAGATCCCAACTTTAAAATTTAAAATGACCTAAAAAGGATTATTGTGCTGCCTCAGACATGCAAACACTCAGCTCAGATGCTCCATTTAGACAGTCATTATGTCTATCAGAGACAAGTCCTCAAAACCAGACCTCTCAGTGTGAAAATGTGCAGAAATTCATTGTTAAGGCTAGTTAAGGTTAGTTCAATATGTAAAAAAGCAGCTTGTACAAACACAGAATTAAATGTGAAGTAGAGTAATTACACACAATTTCTGGATGCACATTCCAGTATGGCAATGGCACTGATATCGAATGTACCATATTTGCAAGTCATGTTTTTCATAAGCATCTAGGAACCTGACTATCATTCATATATGGGCCCCCCCTCACTTTATTTTGTAACATTACAGCTGATTATGGTGTTCATGCTAACTATGAGGTCAAAACACATTTCTCCTTGTGGATGTCCTTTTAGATCTGTTGCTCTTTCTCCCTCAAAATATTTTCCTTTTGGTTTTGTAATTATCCTACCATTTTTTGTTCATATTCAAAGGCCTCTTAAATATCACAGTTAACGATAGGCTAATGGACAAAGGTGTGTTCTGGAATTGTACTATTGTACTTTTTTTTTTCATTGCATGTTATTGTATATAAAATGTTTGTAAAATACAATGCGTGTGAGGACTGTTTCTTTAAACACCTTCCTCGAGGGTTGTTTTCCTTGTTTCCTTGTTACATAAAATACAGTTAACCATGATTGATTGATGTTTTGGGCCCATTAAAATCTTTAATAATAGCTACAGATTTAATGCATTACTATGGTTTACAGTAGCTTTTCCATATACATGTACCCTCAATGAGACTTGGGTTCCACATATTAAAAATACCTAAAAATCCTTTTATTGATAAAGTGCATGTAGCATAACTTCTCCCACAGAGACAGTAACAGATTCTAGCCATCTGTTAAGATAGCCTGGACTTTATATGTCAGTAGTGTGATTAATCAAGCATGGATTCCAGCGAACCATGCCTGTTTAGTGAAGCACAACTCTTGATGTGGACGACAAAGGGAACAATATTATTGGATAGGGTCTGCATGTTTCCAACATCTTGCAACCAGCAAATAGACCTGATAATGCAATGTGAAAATAATAGGAGCAGAAAAAGTCTGAAGCGTCTGATGACAAAAACAGATCCTGAGCGCACCATTTTGACACCAATAACCTTATTTGCAATACAATAAATGAGAGGCAGCTTAAGGTTACAAAAACAAAAAAAGAAAAAATGACTCTGACTTCTCAGGTCAATATTTCATGTCTTGTCACTTAGACTGCCCCTTTTGACTTAAGTCAAATCTAAAAGTTTTATTTTTTCTTGACAAGGTGTCTGTTAACAAAATGTTATTATTCAGCTTATCTATTTCATATTGAAGTGACAAATTCCATTGATTGACCACAATACAAAATAATAAGAAAAAAACAGCATAGACAAAATGAAAATAAATGCAGTGAGAAATCAAAATCTATGATAGGTCATTGTGCAGTTCACTTCATTTATTTATTTTTTGTTGGGGAAAGAATGCATTCAAGATAAATAAAATAATATTGTCCACCAAAGCAAATATAGGCAATTATGCCACTTGAGTTGTTTTCACCTGCTTCCTAGACACAAATATAGGACTGACATGGCCTTGTTCTTGTTCATGACAACTTTTCAATGACCAATGGCAACCAAGAATGCTTAATTATGCTAGCCTGTGCTGTGCAATGTTTGGTAATTTAATTGAAAATGCTTTTATTGTGTGATAAATGTGTCATTGAAGCATTCTTCTTGTTTTGTTGTTGGTAAAGCTAAACTGTGAACTGCAATTACTGAAGTAAAAAAGGACACTTGAACATAAGGGCATTATGAAAACATTGATAACTGCTAATAATACTAAATCTTGAGAACTGAACTGTGCAAGAAGAGTTTTAATGCTATAAACAGTAGAAAATTCTTCCTTGCATCTAGAGAGACATTCTTGTACAGTTTTTTCAGCTGGAAGCATAAATCATGTAATACATATGGATATGTTCTGTAAATTACAAAAATCATTTTCCACAGAAAGATCATGTCATATCGAGGATTGCAATATTTTTCCAGAGATCTGGCACTTCTCCAAGTAGAAATCTACATTCAATTATTAATTAATTGTCAACTTATATGTGACTTTTGGGAGTTTGTAATACATAAATCCGGGCTTTGAGTAGTTCATTGAGTGTGCAATGTTTAAGAAATTCAGCTGGTTTATGGGTTTAATTTCTTATTTCAACCACCCCACCTATAAATACAATTTATTTTTTTATCTTTTTGTTGATCTCACATAAATGAGCTCTATCATCATCATTCATTGAAAATAAGGCACATAAACAACCCTACATAACTCAATTAGAATTAAAAGATGTTACAGTGCATTCACTTCAGTTTTGAATAATTTCTGTGTGATTTCTATTTTTTTTTTCCCAAGCTTTACTAGTTTCTTTTCCACAGTCACCTTCACGGCAAGGGAATTCTTCCTGGAGTTTCTTCAGCTGAGAATTAAGTATGTAGATGGAGGTTCCTTCTGGGTAAATGTTTGTGTGCTAGACATTGTTACGCTCTAAATCACTGATTAGCCTACATATTCAAGCCTGCTAGTGAAACACACTTGAAACATGATTTTAACATTCATCTGAAATAATTGAGGTCTTATGGGAAAAAAGAAGGCAATATGCTCTTTTCATTTAAGAAAATAATCATTTGCAGCAAATACACAGAAAACATCCAATTGGTGATGTTTCACAAAAAAAAGAGCATGTTGGTGAAGACAAATAGCATGGATAAGTGCATGACCTTCTTAGTCTTGTGGACTGACTTTACTGTGTCTTGAGCAAATTAGTTGTTTTCACACCACAGCCTAAAAGCAAAAGCACCAAGACTAAAAGCAGAGACAGAATGGTCTAAAAACAAGATCACCACCTGACCACTGTTTGAAGGAGAAATGTAGCAATAACAGTTTACTAAAGCACTGGAAACACATGGAAAGTCAATACTGCTTATCTAAAATAGCTACAATTTAGTTTCTTTTCTGCTTCTTTGAAATATCTAAATTTCAGGCTAAAAGAATTTGGAAAACCAGACACCTCTTGTCTCAACTTGGCACTCTAGAATCAGTAGACATGCAAAATGGTTGGGGGAAATATATTTGGCTGACAGATGTGCTGCATACTGTTTTGTAAAACGGTGTATGAAGGACAATGCAACCATCTTACAAATTCCAGTTCTAGGACACCCTTCTAACCCAACCCAATAAAGATGAAAACCTTCAGAATTTGGCAAGATTATTTGTGGCATGGTGTGTTATTTTATTTGTAATGTACGTGTGACAATGTACAGTACTGTGGACTGTTTTAATGTGTTTTTCTTCTTACATTTTGGAAGCAAGATATATATTGCATACAGTTGCAGTTAAGAATCGACACACTCTCCTCTTCAAAAAATTTGTGCTGGCATAAGCATCATCTATAAAAATATATAAAAATTCCTTTTAGGCACCCATTATTCCTGAGAATGAATAGTGAAATATCTGAGTTGGAAATGATGATGCTAAATATGAGTGCTTAATATATCTATTTCAGCAACTTTAAATTAAAAACATTTATGAGATTTCGGATTAACTTTATTGCTGAGGATTTCAAATCGAGTAACAGGTTAGCTTAAAAGGCTGTAGACTGAAAGGTTTTTCATGAAAGGTTTAACCTGAAATTCAGATATCCTACAGAATTATTTCTACCACATAACATAGCATAATTGTATGGTTTCACGTACAATGCATACATTTCTATTTTGCAAAGGTACAGTAATTTAACTGTTTCAGTTTAGTTTCAGTGCAAACTAGAACATTTTACATTGGATTGCAATATTATATTGTATATATAGTATATGAAAATATATTCATGTTTTATTAAAACATTTAATTTTTGTAATAGGTTTGGATGAGTATATAACCCAAGATTAACTAAGGGTTGATCAATTGAAACAATTGTTCCTCAATGTATTTATTTTGTACAATACATACAGTATTAATGACCTAGTATAGCCTGTGTTAATATGCTTGTTCTTGTAGAAAGGACATCCTGACCTCTGTTAATACATTTGTGTAAATAATCATTTTGGCCTAATTTCATTCATGCTTTAAACTCATACAGGTAAGAAGAAGCCTAAGGTGGAATGACTTTAGCTGCTTATACAGTAGGTGTAAGAGTAGGTTTTCCAAGCAGAGTTGTAACCTGCACATTTGAAGAATCAATACAAATTACTCTAGACTTCTGCTAGTGTTAGAACATTTTACCTTGCAATGTGTGCTTAATATAACTGGCTGTATTACTCTATATTCCATAGAATGCTTTTTAGTCCCAATTAAAACATGTCTCCTGATTACAAATTTCCTAGCTGCACTAAAACAAATTAATACATTATTGAAGTAAAGAACAAAACATCATGGCACAGCTACTTCTAGAGAAAGATCGGATTTACAGTCATCCTTGATATAACTGCATAATTTAAATAACAGCTGAATATGAATTTCTGTCCCACATCCAGATTGAATTGCTTGTTCAAAATGTTTCAAGGTTAAAGAAAGATTAGGCTCACCAAAAACAGTGCGTGCAGGAACTGATTCTCTGTTTAGCCAGAAGGAAACCTGAGACAAGATGACAGTCATGATGCATGGAAGGTAAGTTTGAATCACAAAATAGCCAATTTTCCTTTTCAAATGGAAATATGTTGTCATCACTATATATTCTCCTGAGGGAAAGAGAAAACACATGAATTATTTACATGCTCATGGTCTGTCCAGACACAATGCTTAAATCACAAGTACAAAGCTAAAATATTAAGAGTTGAAATATTCTGCTTATGAGTATTAATTCATGGAATTAATCTCAGTAGAACTGCAATAACAATTAGTGGAGGGAGATATTCACAACTCTATGTCATTACTTCTGGGGTCAGCTTTTTTACCTCCAGGAATAAAAAAATAAGAAGAGAGACTTCCCTAGGACGATCATTATTAATTTTGATCAGAGTCATTACCTGCACAATTACACAGTTAATATGGTCATACGCAAAGGGGTAGTATCACAAGGGATAAGGCATACCTTCTTATCATACTTAAAGACTTTTCATTTTTTATGAGGACATGTGTACACTTTATCAGACCCACTTGCTGCATATACAAACTAGGATGAGCTACTGGCTTTGTGTACAGTATCAAAGTATTTTTAGCCAATGAAAAGTGACATATAATAGCTGTATATGTCATACATATACCTCTATGTATGTTCACAAGCTGAAGGTTTCTCTGTTGTTTTAGAAATGAAAAAGACAGAATAAGACAGAAACTAGAAAAAAAGACAGTGTATCGAACACTTTTAACATAACCTCTCTTGATTTTAATTCTTTAACTGTGCTGTATATCCTTACTATATATCTTAGTAGCAATGTAAAGATGCAGGCAACTAGAATGTGTGTCAAATGTTAGCAGAATTACAGCATTCTCATGTAATCCACAGCCCTTTCCGGCATACCGCTTTCAGTCCATCACTACTCAAACCAGATCGCTAGGTGGCACTAATGTTGTGTTAGATGTAACTGAAATGGTAGCTTCATTTAATCTGTTTTTTCCCCCTAGTTTAATAATCGTATTTCTTTAAAATGTAACATATTTTATTCTACTTATGTTAAAGAAACACATAGAATACATAGATACCATTTTTAATTGTAAGATTTTTTCTGAAAAGAGGATCACATGCCATGAATGGAGCCAAAAACACTACAATATATTACTTTACAGAATTCTTTAACTCAGTAACTTTGACGTTATTTTTGCTTGATAGAACTGATACTGTATGTGATAAATGGTATATATCAGAGTACAGGGTGATATAGTCTAGAGCTATATCACCCTGCAACTCACAACTGGCAGACCACTGTAACTAAGCAGGTGTGAATCTGGTCAGTAAATGGATCGAGGAGATCTCCTGTAAAAGCTAAGGTTGTTTCTTGAAGACTTGTCAGTGGGACCAGTAGGGAGCACTCACTGTGGTCTATTTGGGTCCTAATGCCCAAGTAGAGTGATGGGGACACTATGATAAAAAGTTGCCATCCTTGGGATGAGATGTAAAGCAGAGGTCCTGACTCTCTGTGGTCATTAAAAATGCCAGGGGGTTTCCAGAAAAGAGTAGGGATGTTATCCTGGTGTCCTGGCTAAATAGTTTATCGATAACGACCTCCTAATAATCACCCTCTATGAACTGGCTTCATTACTCTTCTCACCTCTGCACTGATAGCTGATGTGTGGTAATGTGTGGTACCGTTGCATCACACATTGGTGGAGGGGAGTCCCTATTTTCTTTAATGTACTGTCTAAGTGTCAAGTAAAGCCTAATTTCTCACTGATATACGTCTGTGGTCCAGCTCTGTGCATGGAGTGTTATTATTATTAGTAGTGGTAGTAATAATGGAAGTAATGGTAATACTTCTTATTATTGGTAAGTATACTGTACATGTGTGGAATTTTGGGAGCGTTTTTCTGTCCATGTATTTGGTTTCTAATACACTTCCTGTTCTTTCTCCCTTCATGTCAAAGCTAGCGGTCAAAATAAATAATAAGGCCTCGGCCTATTCCACATCCTTTGTTCCTATATGTATAGTAATCTCTGTTTGGTGACTGCAGGAAGTACAGTAGGCTACACCTAGGAATGCAAAGAATAAAAGTTTAGTTTCCAACTAGAGTCTCTTGTTCATACTTTATCAATTAGAATAGTTCATTCCACACAATGTGTCGTAAATACCTGAAGAATTTTAATTAAAAATTATTCTCTTTGTATATCTAATTTATTCCCATCATCTAAATGGTGATACACAATGGAACGTTTCCATGAACTGGGCAGCAGCTAAGCAATTGTGATCAGCAGCAAGTGACAATGGTATTTGTTTTCTGAAGTTTTAGAAGTTATTACTACTATTATTACTAATTACTACTCATACAGATGTACTTATCTTTTCAGTCATGCTGACCTACAGGTCCCACCCAGGCCTTATTAGACTGTACGTTTTGACTTTTACTATATATTTTGACTCTAACATGAGGGAACAAAGACAAAATACAAATATTTAAAATACTTTTGGATTTTTAATAGGTATTTAGTAATTTTACATTTCTTAACCAGCTTTCATTTTTTAAAGGATCTCTTTAATGCTGAACATTAAGTATATCTCTCACCAAGTACAGCATCTAGTTTTTAATTTAGTGCATTAGCCAAAAACAAAGACAAAAAACTACATTTCCCAACGTCTCACATACGTAACATTACCATTTATCACATATGATAACAGTTAGATGGAGCAAAGTAATGTCAAAATTAGCAAGAGTATCGAGTTAAAGAATACCGTGACATAATATCCACAAATATCAATATATCAACTATATATCAGACTGCCTGAAACTAGATGAAATTATTTACACCACTATTTCCTAAGTGATAATTAAAATATGTTTTTGTGTGGTGCATACAGTACTTCAGAAATATGATGGCAATTTTCAATCTTAACAATTTAATATATTGTTCAAAACAAAGTGCAAAGTGAGCTCTGTTTTATGTGTTTATTTGCTTTTAAACACAATATGTGTAACATATTTTTATAATTAAGATTAAATTAAGAATCTCTGTTTTCTACATATACTACATACTACATATACTTTGTATATGTATTTATCAATAATTCTACAGTACTGTACTGTATGTAATTAAAAAACACAAATTCTATTATTGTTATACATGTTATACAGCATGGTGATATATCTCATTTGGAGTTGTGGTAGCAATGTGGAAACAACATCCTCTCTCAACAATGTAATCATTATATTTAAATTGAAATTGTTTGTTGTTAGTATGTACAGTATACAGTATGATTTGTGCAGCAAAGCAATAATAGGTTAATTCATAAACATTTCATTCTACACTGGTTTGTATGACAACCACATAAACCTGCTGTTCTTTAAGAATTCACTGCACCTTTTGCAGTTTTACAAAGTAGTACAGTCAGATTATTATTTTTTTAAAAGTGATGCTGCTCTTGAATCTGTGTCTGTTGTGGTATACCTACTGATACCTTGCACATCCTAGATCCCTGCATCTGCAGTTAAGGTGTAATAAATGTTTTCATAATTTGGAAATTATTTGTCTGGAATTACTTATTTGTCTGGAATTACTTAGAGGAACAAATATTTCCATACTGAAAAGAGCCGTGAAGCCATCTTCAGGTGTCTTTTCAACATGGAATAAACCTATTGTTCCTTTGCTGCCTACACATGCTGACGCAGGTACCCAACTGAACTATTACTTAGTTCAGTTGTGTCACCATTTTTTCAATGGGCATTATATTAAACATTTTCTAGGCCATGGATGCTTCCCCTGTTTTGAGTAATTTATCAAAGAGTTGAATTAATGGCTTATGAATAACCTCTCATGTTATTTCAAGTGCAATTGGTGGGATATAATCTTGCCCTAGAAATGTAATTATCTTTATAATTAATAAAAATCTTTAAGATTATTATTTATATAATATATTTTCAAATAATCATTTATACAGTATTTTTTCATTCTCTGACTTTTATTGATTGACTACTTAGGAAGCAAACGATACATTCCTAAAAAAGTTTTTCTCTGGAAGAAAACTAAGAGCATCAAAAGATCAACGAAACTGCTAAAAAAACCAGCATCTCTTCCAACTTTGCTGAGACAACAATGACCCAAGTATATAACAGTTGAAGAAGCCAATCAATGTCAGCAATTTGCAAAATAAACAACACTCTGTTGAAGAATAGCTAAATTACTCTGCAAAGCACACAAATGAAATTTGAAACTTTAAATTGAAGTGACAACAAAACTGGAGGGAAGTGAGATTTAACACAAAAATAAGGCAATGACACTAAAAGATGAAAAAAACTTTTTTCTTAAAGTTTGACGTGAAGCTACCTGTGCTGGAGCTGATGACTTCTGTGCCAATAGCATGACCTAACAAGTCATATTGATTCAAACGAGAGCCATCCTCAGCCACTGACACAGAATTGTCAACTCCATTCGTCCAGATATAAACCACCTCAGAGTTTGTGTAAGCATCTGGGGAAAGGAAGTAGAGGAGAGAGTCATTAAAAAAAACCTCTTCCTTCATGTGACATTCATGCTAATATTTGATTGCAAATACATCAAGCTATGTTGTAGATGTTTTATGAAAACAGAAAAACAATTTAAAAAATGTGATAACTTTACCTTGTGAAACCAGAAATAAGCATTTTAAAAAGTTCTCATTAAAATAAGCACATCAGAATTCTTTATATCAAAGCTCATTAAGGTGACAGAAATAATCAGGAATGTGGCTGTGCAAGAACATTTTTAAAAATATGAAAATTTGATAAAGTATCCATATGGCCAATTCACTTTGGAATTACACGTTCCCAGGGGTTTGACTGGGGTATGGACCTATTTTTTGTTCTTTTTCATTTTTCTGTGAGACAAAGCTTTCTGAGGGTTCAGAGCTGATCACAGTAACAAGAGGAACTGCATTTACTTCTGTCCAAATCTTACCACAACTTAGCTTTATGCTGCAAAGTAAGAAATGCTAAGGATGTTAGTTGGACAAAATATTGTTAGTTACTGTACATTGATATTCAAAAAAATATTGAATCAATGGAAGTTCTTAACTGACGTTTGGGAGTATGGCGACAGACAAGCCACATTCATCTAGATGTTTTAAATCACAATCATTACCAACTTCTGCTATAGACATAAATCGTGCACACACATCTTTGAAAATTTCAACTTCGTTTTTTTACAGCTTGCCCTTGCTTAACTCCTCTCTCTCAATGGAGGTTGAGTCTCCTCCTCATTTGGCCAGGAGGTTACTTCTTAACCAAGTGGGTTAAACCAAATCCTTATTAAACCTAAATATTATTCTCTCTCATGTATTACAGATCAATAAACAAAAAGTAAACTCAAAGTTCTGAGCGATATAAAAATATGCCTAATATAAGATTAAGATCTTTATATTTCCAGTATATTGGAAATATAAAAGAGGAACAAATTAAGGTTAATTCCACACTGAAAAGTTTCCTTCTTTACTTGGTCCTTTGCAGCCTTACAGCTGAAACAGCTCCCTACTTGAACACCTACTATAAACCAAGTACATTTCTATTTTTTAAGTATACCATATAAACCTCATAGCTATCTACATCTGTGTAGGATAGAGGCATCATATTGGTCACAGGTTCTCATTAAGCAACTTCTAAGAAATGTTTATATAAAAAACTGCCCTTTCTGGGATTTGAGTCAGTCATATTCCTTAAGATTTTTGTTTCAATTTTGGGCAAGCTACAGGCAAACTGCCTTCTCCATAACAAAATAATACGTCACGGTCTCCCGTAATCTGAACATGACCCCTTTAAGAGGCCGTTTTTGTCGTCCAATCACGTAACCACTCTCCATCCCTGTTCACCACCACACCTCCACTTGGGACATCTCCGGGCATCCTGTCCAATCAAACACCGAAATTCTCATGATCAACACTCTCAGACCGTTTTTCCAGCGAGTGAAATGTCATCTTCATATAAATCTTTGCCCGGCCTCTTTCTTCCTGCGGTACTCTCTAGGGTCAATAATCAGATGTCCCTTCTCGCTTTTGTTGATTCAGGAGCAGCAGGCAACTTCCCTTGTTAAAGCCTGGAACATTATACTACTGCCTGTCCAGCCACCACTCCAATTTCAATCTGCTGATGGCTCTCCTGTGTCCTCTAGGCAGATTGCTTGACAAACAATCCCTCTCTCACTTCAGATTGGGGCCACGCATATAGAAGAACTACAACTACTTCTCCTGGAATACCCCTCACACTTTTAGGATATTTTCTTTTAGGATATCCTTGGTTACATAAACATAATCCACACATCTCCTGGTTATAAAAAATGAACTTCTGGCTTTGGGGTCTCAATGTAAATCATCATGCTGCCATTTACCTATGAAGGTAGCTCTAGCTGATCTCTTGCAGTCTGAAATCTCTGAGATTCCTCATTACTACAGGGACCTGTATGTTCACAATGTCATGGGGAAAAAGGCATCCTTCATCCTTATTCCTTCTTTTCCAGGAAATTATCGCCAGCGGAAATCAATTACGATGTGGGAAATCACAAACTCCTCGTTATCAAGCTGGCCCTTGAAGAATGGAGACACTAGCTCGAGGGGGTCAACACCCATTCATAGCATACACCGATCATAGAAACCTAGCCTACCTGCAATCTGCTAGATGATTAAATAGACGTGAAGTCCAATGGTCACTATTTTTCTCTCACTTCCGCTTTTTTATTACATCCTGGGATCCAAGAACACTAAAGCAGATGCCCTTTCCTACCTTCACGACCCTCCTGAGATGGAACAAGATCCTTAACCCACCCTCCCCTCTAATAAGTGCATAGCTCTAATTTGATGGAATATTGAGGAAGAGGTCAAATGTGCGTTGACTGTCCACTCGATTTCCCCGCAATGTCCTCTTGATAGACTATTTGTCATCAACTCAGTCATATCTTCGGTTCTGCGTTGGGGCTACGACTCCCGCTTAGCTCTACACCCCGGAATTCGCCATACCATTGAATTGATTTCAAGGGACCAACCATAAAAGAATATGTAACATTTTATGGTGGCCAACCATAAAAGAATATGTAACAGAATATGTCAGAGCTTGTCATGTGTGTGCAAGAACTAAGTCCCCCTGTCTCATGTCGGCTGGCCTCTTACAACCCTTGTCCATTCCTTGAATGCCTCTGGTCACATATTTCTGTGGACTTTTTCACGGACCTACCTGAAAATCAAGGTCACATGAAGATTTTGGTTATTGTGGACAGGTTCTCTAAATCAGCTCACTTCATACCCCTCCCTTCTTTAACAACAGCATGGGAACTAGCTGATCTTTTTGTTGCCCACATCTTGGACTACATGGCATCCCCAAGGATGTAGTCTCGGGCCACGGACCTCAATTTATATCAAGATTTTGGAAAGCTTTCTGCAAGTCCCTCGGAGCCTAGGGTATCATACTCAAGCTAATGGCCAGTCAGAGCACATTAACCAAGATTTTCAAACCTTCTTGCGCGCTTATGTCTCTTCCACCCAGGACAATTGGGCCTGACTTCTTCCCTGAGCTGAATATGCCCATAATTCACTTTCTACTTCAGGTACCAATCTGTCATTTTCAATGTGCCCTAGGATATCAACCAGGCCTCATCTCTGTCTCAATCCCAGATTCCCAGGTACCCACGGTTCCTTGTACCCTGCTTCCGTCAAGGGCAGTTTGTCTGGTAACCCATCCAAAACTTACCTTTGAGACAAGCCTCCCGCAAATTGGGTCCTTTCTACACTGGGCCATTCTGTATTCTTTCCCAAGTTACCCCAGTGACTTACTGCCTGGCCCTGCCACCCACTCTTAGGGTTTCACATTTCCCTACTTAAACTCTTCCTCGGATCCCCTCTGTCTCGACCACAACCCTGACCACCTCCGCCCCAACTCATAGATGGTCTCCCCGCTTATACAGTTGATAAGATCCTGGATTCCCGGTGGCACCATGGTACACTTCAATCTTTTGGACTGGGAATAATACGGACCAGAGGAACGCTTCTGGACACCTAAAAGACGCTCATCCAGGACTTTCACATGATTTCCCCAACTGTCCCTCAAGGGAATCAGGAGCCACCCCAAAGGTTTCCAGTAATTTAAACACGTCCCCTTTAAGAGGCCGTTCTTCTCGTCCGGTCTCCTAACCACTCACCATAGCTGTTCATCACCACACCTCCAGCCTTTCTATACTTAAGACTGGCGTGGGCTTATATCTCCGCTCAGCATTTGGGTTTACCCGGCGTTGAGCTCAACCTCCTGTTTCTCAGTGTGATTTTCATGGTTTGTGGACTTATTAGTTCCTGGGCTCGCTGTTTCTATATGACTGCAATTCTTGGATTTCGGATTTGGCAGCTTTGCCCGGCAAACCATCTCTCCTTTTATTTACACTATAGCGTATCTCACATACTGTAGGATCCACTTCACTATATCACTGACTCATAACAACACAGGGCACAAACATGTTTTACAAATCTTGTAAAGATAATGGTACTTTTCAACGTTTAGTATTTTGTATTTCAGGACTATACTGTAAAAAATAAACATTGTGTGATGTCAACAGTACATTATGTCTGTGGGAACAAAAGGTTTAACACTCATCAAGTCATCCTTCAAACACTGTCGTATGACAAAAGGATGTAAAAAATCTATTTGCAATATGGAGATTCCTATATTTTACTTACCTTCAGCACAACTAACAATATTAGATTTCTAAGAGCACAGAAAATGACTTTTGTGCTCACTTAAATGGTAACGTTGATTGGTTTTATATAAAAAGGATGTGACAAAGCAAATCTTTCTCTTCTGCTGAATCTTCATGAATTGCTTCTCTCAAATACTAGCAGTGGCATTATAATTTAGGGACTTGCTTGGATAGATGTTCTATTTTAATTTTAACAATTTAAGGAAATTAAAACATGATAGATTTACATGAATAAAAATGGGAAAAGAAAATCTAGTTTTGAATGTATCATACAGTATATCTTAATGAAAAGGGAAGATGCGTTACAAAATAGAGAAAATCTTTACATACAGTAGTAACAATAACAACATCTGAGCCTTCTTTCATCTGTTTAAGTAATGACAGAGTACTAAGGGAAATATAATTAATCTGACACTTTAAGCAGAGATTTATCGTTAATAACCAGATGAAAATTATTGTCTCACCCTGCTGTGATTTACTAAACCAAATGTGATTATACACTAGATTTATCACTATATTTCACATATATTTTTCCAGTGAATGGTTGTATATTATTTTGTTATTGAATAAACATTTATCTTAGTTCTGCTGTTTCCTGCAGACTGTGATATTAATGTGTCCTCTCTTAACAAAAATAATAACAAGGTCATTGCTATCATTAACTTTTATGAACAAATAACAGTCACTGTTTTTGTTACTGAATTTAAATTCTGTTATTAGACAATTACACAATTGATGTGCTTGTTTTAACATTAATAGCCTTTTATGATGAATTTGAATTAATGTATTGTCAGTGCATGAAGATACTGTATTTAGTTTCTGTTAATATGCACATTACTTTTAACTGTGATGTCTTTCTGGACAGTAAAGGTGCTTTTAAAAACAGGCAAAGTGCTTGGAAATTTATGTTTAATCATATGCCTCCCAGGGAACAAAATGTCTATTTAATTACCTAACAGACTTGTATTATTTTGAAAAAGTGATAAACAGTTGCAATATACATACATTAAAATGTAATAGAAAACACATGAACTGAAATTTGAAATTGTGCATTATTGCATAGAATAGATACTGTACCTCAAGGGCTATAATTCAAGCCATGTTGCAAGATTGGTTGTCAATTACAATGTAAATATTAAGCAAATATACAGTAAATAACATCTGGTGACTTGGATACAAAGTCAAGGAGCCCCAAAATAAATGTATTACTTTTAAGAAATATTAAACAGGTTGTGCAATGTGGCAATGTGTAAAAATATCTTTTGGCATAGGTGAGTGTTAAGGTTCAAAGTTCTTTGTACAAGTGTTCAGTACAATATACTGTATTACAGTTTCACTTAAAAGTAAACAGAACAGTTTTAATTTAGTAGGTTTGGAGGTTGAAATTTCATAACAAATGTTAAATCATCACCATTTTGTAGTATAATGCACTACTACTGTTTTTTTATTTGATTGACAAATTATTTTCAAACAGAGTTTGCTAATACAATCAATCCAGTAATTATCTGAAATTAAGGCAGTAGGCTGCTAATGAATGACTATATCACAATAAAAAAAATCTGTTCCAGATCATGTACAGTATGTCACTTACTGTCTACATTACCATATAATAGTATTCCATTAATCAAAACATACAGTATTATAAAAAGGTCAATCAATAATGTTAGCATAATTTGCTGTTGTGGGAAATAGCTACCAGGCAGCAAGGCTTTTCTAATAAACACAACCTTCTAAGTACGAGAAGTGGTCTAGGGAACAAAATGCAAATTAAAAGTGTGAAACATAACTTGTTAAATTAATTAGAGCCATCATTTCCCATCAAATGCCAATTAACAGCTGATAAATTATAGCAATTAGCATTTATCTCTTTTAAATTATCATACAATCGAATTGGCTGGTTTGGATTTTGGTGTTGCTTTTTAAATGTTCAGTATATAATTTCAGAAAAAAACTCATCAGCAATCTTTTGACAATGCCAAAATCAATGTATAAGAGAAAGTCCACCCCACTCTCTCCTACGATCATGTCATTATCCATGCCTAAAGGAAACTCTGATACCAACTACTGTAGACAATGCATGCACATATTCATGAATTTAATAAAATGATGGGAATATTTGATAGTGCGAGTCTATATTTAGCAATGTCTAAATATTCAAATATGTATGCATACATACATACATTATTCGTATTTAGCTAAAGCTGCAAGCTTAAAATATAGAAACTTACAACTTCCAAACTTTAACGGACATGCATGTGCATCCATTGGAAAATCTTCCAGGTGCATGGGGCATTCGGCATGTATTGTTAACCTGCAAAATAAAAGATATATATAGAATGAATTAGAGTGGCATGGCAATGCAGTGGTTAGCATTGATGCCTCATAGCACTGGGGGCCTGAATTCAGTTCTGGAGTTTGTATGTTCTCCAAATATCCATGTGAATTTTCATCCAATTTCCTCTCACAGCCCAAAGACATACTGGTACTGTAGGTTAAGTGGCTTCTGGGAAAATTAGCCCTGGTGTGTGGGACTGTGTATCGGATAAAGTGGTTAGAAAAAGGATGAATGGATGGATAATATTAATTTGAAGTAATTTCTAATAGGGTATAGGTAATAATGTCTAATTTCTCTTTATTTTGCTACATGGAGTTGTGTGACACATATAGCGTTTACAGAACATGAGAGATTTTATTTTGAGTGGTACAGCTGTCACCTAAGATGGAATGTATACTTGAATCCTCTCTGTTGTTGCAGATACCAAAGCGAGGTCCCATTTTTTTGTTTAAATCCCAGGCCTTCTAGTGTGTATATGGTGTTGTACATTATATGAAATTCAGAAAGTTGCTTAGGGTTGAACACATACAGTAATACGTACATTAAATACTTTGGTTGGCAGTCTATTAATAGATGTGGTAAAGAAAAATAAAAAGGGGTATTTGAAATAGCTGATTTTTTGTAGCTTTGTGAGAAACACAATGTGTCCCTTAAGCATAGGGCTACATCTTTAAGAAATGCAAAACCCCAATTCTGTTAATCTCGGCACTTTTAGGAGGACTACATATATCTCCTTTCCTAGAATGCCTCAGCTGAAAGTCCTGCATTCAGCCCGTCTGCTTGTAAAATCATTTTAATTCATGAGATTGACCTGGCATTTTTATTTAGCTGAAAAAGAAACGCCTACTTGAACATGGTTCCCTGTCATCCTGCTTCAAGATTCCTTCTTTTGCTGTAACACTGCTGCTGGTAATTTGTCAGTTTCATGGTCAGTGACTCGTTGATTCTGTTAAAGAGGCATTTTCTGGATACAGAAATAAAAGAGCACAGACTTCCTGAGGTTTCTGTAACTTTCTTTTTTAATAAGGATGTTTTTCTGCATATCAGGTTTGAACAATTGATTAGCAAATTATCTAACATTCAGAGGGGAAGCTGTAAGTTGGAGATGGAGTGGAGGAGGGAGACAAATGTGAAAAGAGGTGTTTGGTTGATATATATATATAGCTAATTTCGTAATGATAGTGATTAAGTACAGCTGTGTGTGATTGACTTGTTGAACCCAGTTAATATCTTCCATTTATTATGAAAAGTGCACTAGTTAATATTTCATTCTCCAGAGATAATGAAGCAGTGGATCAAAATGTTGACTACAACGTAATTGACATTCAAGAGAATATACATCATTGCAGTGTCAACACGTAAGGTTCTACAGAAAGTATGTATTTTTTTAAAAAATCATTAAATGCGCTTCAATTTTTCCAAAAGGGGTGATTTCTTAGTCCCTTGACAGTTACATTTTCTATGCAACCACCAAATAGTTTAATCATGATTTTTAAAGAAAGGTGTTTATTAGCTTCAATATTACTTTGGCTTGTACAGTTGTAAAGAATTTCATCTTGATAATTTGAGCTTTTCAAGCAGGTAGCTTCGTCAGCATGCGCGGTCTCCAAAGGAACAAGTTAAGATTTATTCCATGCTGAAAAGAGAAAAGAGAAGAAAAGAAACACTACATTTTGGCTGTAAAGCTTTCTTCAGGTGGGTTTCTTTTCTTCTATTTTTTTTTCTTTTCAGCAAGCAATAAACCTTTACTTGTTCCTTCATAAATTGAGTGTTTGAGCTTCTGTTTCAAAGTGTTTCCATCTTCTAATCTTATTTTACTACATTAACATCGGCGGATAAAAAGGACATAAAAAGGCTTTAACCACAGTTACTTTACAACATGTTACAAGCAAAAGATTCACAGGTGAGGAGTAGTAATTAGACCCTGGTTGGCCAACAGTGTTCTTGGAGAACTACAGTATAAGCCAGAAGATTTTACAAGTGACCCCTAAATCATCCATTTGTTAATACCTGGAACCAAGCAAGTTTTGATCAGTTTAGTCAGTTATATGGTTCAAAAGTGCTTTAGCTGATCTCTAATGGGATAATAAAAAAAGCAAGATTATAGCTTCCCAAGACTAATTTGGCCACCCCTGTGCTACACTGTAAATAACTCTAAATATTTAATGGCACATCCCAGCATGTTTAACAGGTAATGTGGTACCAGTACCAGGATTGTAGCCCAGAGCCTGATGTTTGAAAATTTGCCCCTAAATGTATCAACATTTTAAACTAAATCAAGCTCTAGACTGTTGTTTCATCAATGACTAAAATACTGCAATGTACTGCATATACTTCAATATTTTACATTCAATATTTTTATATTTTGCAGTTACATTTCAATTTAGTATTTTTTATTTTATTTACTTTTAAGAGAATGTCATTTCACCCATTTACAGTAGCTCATTTTTCGGTTTTGCATCCTGTTATAAAATAATTAATAACTTGATTTGTTCAGACCCTTCTTTGTCAGAAAAGAAATAATCCTTATATTGACCCATAATCCCCGAAACAATTTGAGACCAAATGCATATTGAGAATATGAAGTGTTTTTTGAAAGTGAATATTGTTATTTAATTACCAGTATATAATAAAATAATTAAAATAAAACATTGTAGTCTTACTTTTACTGTGCTTATTTTCAGTTAATTTAAAATGCGTTGACTTAATTTGCAGTGAGTTTTATGATGAGCTTCGTATCTCTATTGAGATATGCACTCTGAGCTATGCAGTCTGATTGGTGGCAGAAGGAGTGAACAGTTGATTAGCGTCACTTGATTGCTGTGCACAGCGATTAAGCAAAGACCTTAATCTTAGCAATGGCTGTAATTCTTAAATTACATTTATCATTCTTTAACTTTACATTTAAATCCCAAAACAAAGACTGATAGAAAGAAGGCAGCAAATAATAATTATCTGAAATAACAGCTGTTGATAATTTCCTACATCTGATTTAACTGCAGAAAACCTGTTACCGAGTTCACTCAGTTGGGTTCTATTGAAAAATGAGTTTGTTTTGTTTCTGAATTGACAGACATGTTTTCATATAGAAATAATTTGAAAAAAGTAAATGTAAAAACTGCCTCCAAAAATGCAGATTTTTGGAAAATTGTCAAATTTTATTAAGTGATTTGCCCATTCTTATATATTGGTAAGGGTATTCACTAATATACCGATACGTGATGTATAGTGATATACTGTATAAAACAACATATGCAGTATGAAATGTCTGACACTGCTGCAGGTGTTGCTATAACAACTTTGAGTTGTGTAAAAAGGCAATACTAATAGAGGTGCAGAAATGTTAATCAATTCATGAATGAAAAAAGTCAGAATAGATCTTACAGTTCTGAAGATGTAACATTCCACTTTCTAAAGACAGGTGATCAGCAGATGCAGGCATTACTATATGGGCTGCTGTGCAAGCATATGAGCATTTATGGAAAACCTGTTTGCACTGTAGAGAGCTTCTTTCTGTGAGACCAAAGAACACTGAGACTGCTGGTCTTCATGGCAGGAGATTTCAAGTTTCAGTCTGGAATAGCTTAGTCAGACAAATTTCATTACCAGGACACCTTGAGCTCAAAGAAGACTGTATGACTCAAACTCAAACCACTACTACTACTACTACTACTACTACTACTACTACTACTACT